GGGGGGTTGGAGTTTTCTAGTAAGAAAATCCGTGACATACGGTTGGCTCTGAGCCCAAACTGTTCTTGTAGGAGATATATTTAAATTTTTTTATTTCTTAAAATTTATTTTAAAATTTTATATATCAAAACAATTGAAAATATACAAAAAACAATTAAATAAAAAAAATCTTCAATGTCGGCTATTCACCGGAATTCCGGACAGGTGCTTAAAAGACAGAAAAGAAGTACTATCAAAACTGTGTTTTTTTAAATGTTGTCTGGTGTATTTCAATGTCGAGTACGTGAAATTTATTATCCAGATGCTAACCACCGACTATTGTACTTCCCCTCGGAGTTTTTTAAAATTACCCTGCACCGCATTATCAGAACCCCTGCTATTTTTGGCACCAGCATGACGCTGAGATGGCCTGTCATGACATTACCGACGATAAAAAGTGAATAGGCCAAAAGACAAGACGTGGAGCAGTGGCTAGTGGGAATAAAGACTCTTCCTTTCTCTACTTCGTTGTCTTGTGTTTCTTTTCCCTTTTTTCTTTTTTTTTTAATTCTTGATTTCCAAGTAACATACGCATATTTTAATTAATTTTTTAAAATTTTAAAATTAAATTTATAATAATTTTAAAATTTATAATATTTAAACCAATAATTTCTAAAAAAATTAATTTAAAACCACTATATCCTCAAGAATAAAGAGAAGACGTGTTCCTCTTGTATTCCTTCCTTGCTTTTGTTGGGTTCTCATTCACTTTTTATTGTAATTATAATTGTTTTTAAAATATTTTTTATTTAAAAATATATTAAAATATTTTTTATTTTTTAAGATTTATTTTAATATTAACTTATTAAAACTATTGAAAATCATAAACACATTAATTTTTTAAAAACTTTTTAAACACAGAAATAAACCCCCGTGAAGCCAAGAGTTCCAATTTCACGGAGGGAATTTATGGTTGAACCTTCCTCCGACATCATCACCAGCCGTTGAATTCTCATACTTAAACCACAGTGTCTCAAAGTAAAATGCCTCTCCTGCTTCTCAACGACACGTCGTTTCTCCTCGCAGTTTCCTTCGTGTTTAATACCCCCTTTTACCCTTGAACTATTCAAGCTGTGTCATACTGATGTTTATAATATTATTTCGCTCAATTTTATCTTTCAATTATTATATTTCAAACAAATATCATCTCTTTCTTTATTTTTACCAAAAATCCTTTTCAAAAATCTAATTTTCGGTATTTTGAGGAAAAAAAGGTTTCTCTTGTACTATATAAACTGAATCTACTTTCAAAAATAATTTTATTTTTTCAAAATCAAGAAAACTTTTTAATATATTTTTTTAAAATAAATATTAATAAAATTGAAAAAAATATAAAATAATTTGAAATGATTCTGAATTTCATCTACAAAAACCTTTAGAACCATATTAAAACCACCTCTATAAATTCACATGATCTGAGAGATATATTAAATCGATAATATAAACCGTTTCCTGTGTGCCGGCGCTTTATAAGGTTTCCTTAGCTTTCTCCAAGGTGAAGGCACTGTCCGAAACGTCGCCGTGATGTGCGCTAGATTTTGGAAAAAAGTTAGTGCTCCCTTTCGGCCCTGTAGTCAACGTGGGGCAACCTGCCTTACTGAACCCGTTCAACCTGCCAGAAATTAAAAAAGAAAAGAAAAAATGGTGACGTGTCATTTATCTTAAACATAATTTTTTAAACATAGAAAGGAGCGAACAAGTCAAAATTTTCAGAAATTAAAGAAACACTGTAAATACTCTTAAAATGCTGAATTTTTATTTCTCTACTCTCTAAAAGATATAGACAAAAATAAATTACAAAAAATATTCTCCTTAAATAAAAAAATAAAACTAGGAAATATCATAATAAAATTAATTAAAAAATATTATTTAAAAAAAAAACTTTATCTTCGGCGTTATGGACCTCTTACGGGCCCATGAGAAATGTGCAGAAGTAGTGGGCATCTAGGCATTGTCAGCCACACACCTTTTGCTCTTAGGGAGATGGTGACATTTTCATTTGGTATTTTAACCTACCCTATTTGAGAAAGGTCCGGAAAATTGTGCACCATAAGAAACCCAAAACCTTAGTATTGAGATTGCTGGGGCATATCACATATCCTTTGTTGCGTCGAGAGAGTCAGGAAAGGGAGAAGGAAGAGAAATGAGGCACTGGGGTCTAATTTTCTTCGTGATTCTGCTCATTCATGAACAGGGAATTTTTCTCCAGGTGGAAGCAGATGATGGGTTCATAAGAACCAAAGGAGTGCAATTCTTGTTGAATGGTAGCCCGTTTTATGCAAATGGCTTCAATGCCTACTGGCTCATGTACTTTGCAACAGACACTTCACAGAGAGACAAAGTGACATCTGTTTTCCAAGATGCTAAACAGCATGGCCTTACACTGGCAAGAACTTGGGCTTTCAATGATGGTCAGGATAGAGCTTTACAGGTCTCACCTGGCTACTACAATGAACAAACTTTCCAGGTAATCATGATACACCTCGCCTTTTACTCTCTTTCTAGTCTTTTGAAATTCTTCATCCTCATCCTCTCTGTCTCTGTTAATGTCTGGATTTTCATTTTCACTTTTGGCTCAAAAGGGATTGGATTTTGTCATTTCCGAAGCTAAGAAGAATGGGATTAAGCTGATTTTGAGCTTGGTGAACAACTATGAGAACTTTGGAGGGAGACAACAGTATGTGAACTGGGCATCCAGTCAAGGCCAGTCCATATCATCTCTTGATGATTTCTATACAAACTCTATAGTGAAAGGATACTACAAGAATCATATCAAGGTGAGGGTGACTCTCCATCTTTCTGTGTCCCTGCCATTATTATCAATATTTCATACCACTATTGGTGACAGCTTGAGAGACAAATGATTCAACCACTGGAGTGACTCTCTCTCTCTCTCTCTCTCTCTCTCTAGTGTCCTTCCTTTCCTTGTAAATCGAAGGATTTATTGGTTTTCTCATGTTTTACAATACCATGGTTAATTTTTTCTATTTTTTTCTGTACATATGTAGACTGTTCTGACAAGACGTAACAGTATCACCGGAGTTGTTTACAAAGATGAGCCAACGATAATGGCTTGGGAGCTTATGAATGAACCCAGATGTGCCTCAGATCCATCAGGAAGGACCATTCAGGTGAGTTGGATAGACTTTTCCATCTGATCTTTCTGATTCTACATGTCTAGTTGCAAGTTACAATCTTTTCACAATCTCTCAATATTTCTGAACTCAAAAGTCTTGTGATTTTTATTTATTCGTTAATGTTGTTTTGCAACTCCACTCGGGATTTTGCCAAAAGGGAGTCGGTCACAAGAACTGACATGCTCAAAACCTTTTTTGTTCAATTTCCTGCCTCCACTCTCGAAGTTGGGGCAATAATTTAAGAACCTATACTACTAAGATTAGGTGAGGTTTTGGCAGTATTAGTTTCATTAACATAGTCGGATAAAAGGGTCACTGAAAAGATTAACAAAAGTGTCACGCAAAAGGAATGATTATAACGTCCATTAAGAGCTATCAACTCCACATAAGTAGAAAATCTGGCTTGATCACCAACAAGAAAACAAAATTATTAAATAGAAACAACTGTTTGATTTTACTTCATTATTTATTATTATTATTAATGTGGTTATTGGAATAGCCATATAACTCGACTAATTTTGCGTGCCTAGAAATTACCCTGAGATTTGAGGGAATCAGATTAATAACTTCTAGAAAACAAATATAGAGTCCGATCAATTTAGCTAGCCCTCAAGATTAAAAAAGTCTGATTTTACTTAATTGTGCTTTGTGTGGCAGGCTTGGATTACAGAGATGGCTTCTTACTTGAAATCCATAGACGGAAATCACTTGTTAGAAGTTGGCTTGGAAGGGTTTTATGGACCATCTTCTTCTGAAAAGCAGCAATCCAATCCAAACTTTCTAGTAGGGACAGATTTCATTGCTAACAATCAGATACCTGACATTGACTTTGCCACAGTTCACTCCTATCCTGACCAATGGTAAAGTTTTAATTAAAAATCTCCACCTAAAACCGTCCCTGATTTGGTTCTGTGAATGGTTTTCCAGGGAATAAATACATTCCTCACCAAAATGTGGTAATTTTCTTTATGAACAGGTTACCTAATTCAGGTGAAGAAAGCCAAGAATCGTTTTTGAACAGTTGGCTCAACAATCATATCCAAGATTCACAGAACATCCTTCGGAAGCCAGTTCTGTTTGCTGAATTTGGAAAATCATTGAGAACGTCGAATGATAATCAAAGGGACCGGCTGTTCAATACAGTCTACTCGGCTATTTATTCATCAGCCAGCAGCGGAGGTGCTGCTGCAGGTGGAATGTTCTGGCAACTACTTGCTGAAGGAATGGACTCATTTCGAGATGGGTATGAGGTAGTCTTCAGCCAGAATCCTTCGACCACTAGTGTCATTGTTGATCAGTCTCAAAAGCTCAAATCGGATTCGAAAGATGTATGCAAGGCTGAGGAACATTGAGAAGTGGAAGAGAGCAAAAGATATCCGAAACAATGGCAATTAACCTAAAAGATTGAGAAGCAAATAGGTCAAGCTCGAGTGTTGACCGTATTAAACTATTTTTATCTTTATAAAGGCAAAAAACTAACGTACTCGGTTAAAGTTGTAAGGACTGAATTCTCCGTTGGAGATGAATCAGCTCATCCAATAGCACTTATTTTAGCGAAAAAGAAAAGGAAGCGATTACACTTGAATCAAAATCATCCCCTCCTCGACTACAGCAATTTTATTCCAGCTCAAGATTAGTTCTGATATATAGCCAACTGGGTTGAAGTGGAAAAGTCAGAATAAACAGTGTATTATCAACCCCATGGCTTGTGTTTTAAGCAATGAACCTATCCATATTGCTAAATGGACTTCATACCCTTCAATTTATTCGAGTTAAAATACTTCCTCTTCTCGGCTATTCTTTCACATATGGAAGGAGTACGTAATTTACATATACAGTAGTTACTTCGTTATGATCACAGCAACCAAGTGCAAAGATGTGGATCGGTTGCTCCGTCAGCTTCATCACTAGGATTAGGCACTTCTAGATAAGGGTTCCTAAGCACGCACTTCCAGATAAGGGTCCCTAGGCACTTCTAGATAAGGGTCCCATCTTTGATTGTCGCATTCTTCAGTACGGCTGTAATCCCTGATCTAATGTAAAACCCTTCAGCTGGCCTGTCTGCTTCTTGAACACCCTGATAAGTCGAAGCAAACATATGCCAATCAAATACAGGACACTTCTAATTGGTTTCTTGAACATTTTAAGCTGGTATGAAGTTCAAAGAGAACAGAAAGCTATACTTACATCAGCATTTGTGATGATCACATCTTTTCCTATCCTGGCATTCTTATCGATAATACAGTTCCTGGGAGAGAGAAAAAAGCCATGCATATGTTCCACCATCAGGCAAAAGAATCCAATATGAATATTTAAATTGCTATAAGCAATCATGAGTGGATACATGCGTCCCTAATACTCTCTTTACAACCCTAATACTCTATTTACAAATTACCAAGATTCGAATTTCTAACATTTAACATTCAATTTAACCTTTTTTATTTTTTATGATATTACAAGAAAGAATCTGTAAAGAACAATAAACTTTAGCAACAACATGCTGGTCTCATCTTGTACCTTGCAAGTTTCTGCAAGTGTGCATGAGAAAGAGGAGTTGCAGCTTAAATCTTACCTGATTTTGGTATTTTGACCAACACCAATTGGGACCTTTCCTTCTGCTAGCAGAGAGGCAATTTCAGATTCAGTTTGATAGTAGTCAGCACCCATCATCATAGTATCCTGGAGATGTAAGTACAGTCCCGTTAGGCTATTACTATAATCAGTCGGCACTCCAGAATTGAAAGAAAAATCGGCCAGGCTTCTACATGATGCCATCTTGGCATCAATAACGATCACCATTTATCTAAATAAATTCATTTTCATAAAGTCACATGTATTTATGGGATTTCGATAGGAAAAAATGAATCAAGTGCATTTTGATCCTTTTCAGATGACAGAAATATGCAATTAGAGTGGAGGTTTCATAACATTTGATGCCTTGAAGGCATCGCAAACAGAATGCCTCATGGAATGCACTGTCTTTTACGGAATGGCTTACAACTTTCCACTAACTTAATGTCACAATATCAATCCGCAAGATCACCACTTACTGAGTTTAATATTTTTTTTTCAAAGAAAAATGTAATGTGATATTATGAAGGCAAACATTCCATAAAAAGACGATAAAATTCACAATCTGCAGCTGATTAGACACAGGTCTTAAGAGGCACAGCGTGCAGCATCATAGGATTGTCATGTCTACTAAATATAAACCAAAGCACTATCTGGAACGGCATAGGCTCCTAAAAGCATGTTGTTTCCAGTGGAATTCCTTCAATAATGTGCATTCCAAAACAACTAGCCCCTGCTGGTGTCAATTTCCTAGCATACTAGCATGCTTAATTTAATCTACTGCCGTCTATGTCGAATTAATCAAATCTAGATAGGGTAAGAATGTGATGCCCGTGAATCCAGAAGCCTGCCTCTGTAAATCAATTAATTTATCACCAAAGAATGTCTTCTTAATTCAGTACTAGCTTTAAACAAGAAGGGAAGAGAAGCGATGGGGCAGGGAAAGACTAGGAAAAGAGAGCTAGCTTACTGTAAGTTCAACGCCACTCTCTAAACGTGAGCGAACTCCCACAATAGAATGCTGCACGCTACATTCTCGTAGAAAGCAGCCATGTGAGATTATTGCATCAACAATCTGCAATAAAAGAAAGTGTCACGAGGTGCACCAAGCACATTAGAAATTGTAACCTCATTTGAGCTTAAAGTCATACCCTGCATCTATCAACTTTAGTTGGTGGCAAGAATCTAGGAGAGGTGAAGAAAGGTGTCTGCGGATCATAAAATTCAAACTTCGGTGGCTGCATTAAAGAAAACCAACTGATCAATGTACAAATCACGACCTTTTTTCCCTCACCGCAGTGCTACAAGGTCAAGTGGCTTGGTCATTTCCATAATCAGAAAAATGAAATAACAAAAATGTTTCTGATTTGGAATAGGTTAAGTACCACTTCACTGCAAGATGATCTAAGTCCATAAATTAAACAAGCAATTTGGAGATTGCATAGGATTTTGAATTCATTGGAAATGACAAGATACTTCTACCCCATCAACAATATTGTTCACTCTTTTTTCAAAGCATAACCAAAACAATATGAACAGATTTTTTGCAGCAATGACTTGCTGATTTCACAATATCTAATAACGCAGCAGAGAGAAAAATTGCTTTCATCAATTAGCTTATAGTGTAAAGGTAGATACTGCAGAAACGAAAGCGATGGCAGTAACACCAACCTGCTTCGTGAGGCCCAAATTGGCATCAAAAAATGACTTTACTGTTCCAATGTCCTCCCAGTAGTCATTGAATAAGTAAGCCTAGAAAAAGTTAAAAAGAAATAAGAAATTCAATTACTAGAATAAAGCTAACCTATGCAAATTAACTAGAAATAAAAAAGGACATGTGGATGAATCCATGTTTGAAGGGCAGTCTCACCTGGACATTATGATCCCTCACAGCAGATGGAATGATTTCGGAACCAAAGTCATTGCATGAGGGATAGCTCCACCTCAGAAGCTTCAGCAGGACATCAGTTCTAAACACATAAACGCCCATTGAAGCAATATAGGGAAATTGCATAGCTTCTTGTCTGGAGAGTCCAAGAAGAGTGGTATCAACTTGCTGCAGCAAGAAGAGGATATCACCAAGAGCTAAATTTAGATATAAAAACTGAAGGCATATCAACTGAGAGAAGACCAAAAGGGATCTTAATTAAGTATAAAATTAAGATATTGGAGCTCATGAAAAATAAGATGATTAGAGGACTAACTACCATTGCTTTCAGATCAGGGCCCTTGGGTTTCTCGGCAAATTGAACGATGCGTCCAGTGTTGTCAATCTTCATCAGTCCATAATCTGATGCACGACTGCAACATATCTAATTTCAATGAATTTCCAAATGCAAAACAACATTTTATTCTACAATAAATGTTCTGGATGATGGCAGATTGAGTGACAACAATTACAGTTTTATAGTTGCAAGGCAGGCAGACACTGCCACAAGACACCATGCCATTTGACATAAAAGGACATTAGAGATACCTGTCATCCATGGGTACACAGGAGACTGTTACATCTGCATTTGTGTCGATATGCTTCTGTAAATACATTTAGACATCGAAAAGCAGAACTTAAGTCAAATTCCAGGAATCAGGCATGCAAGAAAACTGTATTTGATGCAACATCCCACCAGTGAACGCATAAAAATAGTACCTGGACGAACTCCATGTAGTTCATTCGATAAAGATGATCACCAGACAAGATCAATACATGCTCCACGTTCTTGTTCTTTGCATCCTGAACAGACCAGTGAAACCCATTTAGTCTAATTTACAGTTTCAATCTTCAACAGAAAACAAAATTACGAGTTCTCACCTCAAACACCCATATAAACTGCCTTACAGCATCTGCGGTTCCTTGAAACCACTTCTTTCCTGTTTCCCCTGGAGTTTGAGTAGCTGCCAAAACCTGTCCAAGGTATCTCTTTTAAGAACTTTCACACCAGCAGTTTACAAAAACACTCAATTGAACAACAACGACAACTCTAAAGACGTATGACGATACCGTAATAAGAACTTAACAAGCGATCATTCTTTGATGATTACTGCTTGCCTCAATAGACCAAAGCATAAGTTCATCTCATGATACACTTCTGGTGGTTTTGTATATAATTTAGCAGATTCAAATTCCTTCTTCTGCACAAAAACCATCTTACCTCCACAAATCCATCTCCAAAACTAACACCATTGCCAAAGTTATAAGTACGAGCTAGATGCCGATTGAGTGAGAAGGAATTAAACTGGGTTAGGATGAAAATCTTCTTTATCCCACTATTGATGCAATTACTCATAGGAATATCAATCAACCTGTAACAGCCTCCAATTGGAACCTGTATGGAAGGACACAAACATAAATTCTACAGTTTTCTTCTCAAAAAAATGCAAAAGACCAAATTAACCAAGCCCCGTTATCTCAAATTTGTAACAAAAATTCAATAATTATTTCTAGAAACCATGAGCTTATTAAATCTTACCGCGGGCTTGGCTCTTTTGCTGGTAAGAGGAAAGAGGCGTGTCCCAGCACCTCCACCTAATATGATCGAAGCTACATTACCTGGGTCTGCTTGTTGAGTCTCAAACACAGGTGCTTCAAACGTCTGAAATCAAAATTAATAATAAAAAAAACTTAAGCATCGCCGTCAGACAGAATCAGATGTTAATATATCAACGTCAGACGTTGAACAGTTTTTGTACTCACCACAATTTCTTTGTTAACTTCTGATGTAAGAACAGAGTAGGCAACTCCAGGCTTAGCCTTTTTCACACCGCTTCTCATATTTTTCCACAACAGGGCACTCAAAGCCCTGCTCTTCGGGTTCTTCTTAATCCTTTCACCCCAAAAGTGAGTCCCTTCGTTTCTAATACTTCCGTTGTTAACATTAACAACATTGGCACCAGCACTTGCCTTCGATGCTCCACAGAAAGAATCCATCTTTGAATCAGAGTAAGAAACAACAACCCCAAATATATTTCTTAATGTAAGATCCAAGAAATATAGATTCCTAAAACATTAATAAGATGACAATACAAGGATGGCCAAAACGTAAAATTTTTGTTGATAGTCCCTAAACAGAACCGGAGCAGATGCAACAACGATGATAAATAAAAGCCACCCTGATAAATCTATAGTTTTGAATGTCAACGTACAAAAGGCTCAGATAAAAAAAAAAAAACTAAAAAGATCGAGTTTGTTTCAATGACTGAT